TCATGGTTTTGCTGTTCTTGAGAAGAAGATTATTAAAGATTTGTCCTTTATATTCCTATGTAAAACTTTGATCGTTCCTACCCTATCCCCGGGGAACATGATTTGAACAAACTTCCAGCTTCCATATCAATATTACAAATCCTTGCTTTGCTGTTCTTGAGAAGAAGATTTTAAAACATTTTTTCTATATATTCCTATGTAAAACTTTGGTAGTCTATAGGGCCCCACCTATCCACGTTTTGAAACGAACTTAAATCTACACAACCTGAGGATGCTTCTGTATAAATATTAACCAATTATGGTTTTGCTGTTCTTGAGAAGAAGATTTCTAAAGATTTGTCCTTTATATTCCTATGTAAAACTTTGATCGCCCATTGTGCCCTCACCCTACCCCCGGAGTAATGATTTGAACAAACTTGAATCTACACTACCTGAAGAAGCTTCCATATTAATTTTTCCAATCCTTGCTTTGCTGTTCTTGAGATATTTTTTAAATTTTTCCTATGTAAAATTTGATAGTCTATTGGAGCCCACCCTATTCCGGGGGTACAAACTTAAATCTATAGAGGATGATTACACATGAGTTTCATCTTTCCTGGCCCAATGGTTCTTGAGAAGAAGATTTTTAAAAATGCCATGAATTTTTTACTAAATTCCAGAACTGATCTCCCCTTGAAGAGAAGATGGCCCTTCATCTGAAACCAAACTTAAATCCCATTCACTCAAGGATACTTTGTAGCACGTTTGGTCGAAATTGGCCCTGTGGTTCTTTAGAGGAAGATGAAAATGTGAAAAGTTTACGACAACGCCAACGACTGGCAGACAGCGGACAAATTTTAATTAGCAGTTTTCCCTCCAGCCTTTGGCTCAGATGAGCTAAAAAGGGATATATATATATATACTCTGTTATATGAAGTGCTGAGTTAAACTTAGCCTAATGTTTATAACCATGTTTTACATTTAAGCAGTGAGTTCAACTTCTGAATGATCTACAATGTATATCTATCTATTTGGATTATCATTAAATTAACCGCTACAATTTTCATTTACCGCTACATACACAAAACCGCTACAAAAAATTACATGATCGCTACATTTATATGTTTGTATTCGCCGCCTCATTGCCTCTCTTCGCTATCGGCTTATGTATGGACAGGCTGATTAAAAGTATAAAATAATATGTGCATAAGACATGATTCTCCTGCTCACCATGGGGAGGTGAAAGTAAGACTTCGAGCAGGATGGGTTTTGTTTTCAAATTTTTTATGCAAAATATATTTATTTGATTGAAATTTTAAAAGGTTTTAAAAACCGAGTATTGTTCATAAATAATTACACAGTCTTTACATAAATGGTAGAACTTTGAGGGCCATTTGCTGTGAGGTACTGTTCTCTGGAAATATCTTAATATAATGAATCATAATGAACTTATATTCAATTGCATCGCTGAATAATTCGATATGTAGCGATAATGACTTGACAATACTGCAGTATTCTTATTGACAAAATGTTTTGGTAACGATTGCTTAATTTCGAAGAAATGGTTTGAAATATCTTGCAGTACAGCTGCTACCCAAACTGTATCTCATATAACAAGATTTTAAGAAATCGTGACAACGTGATATCAAGTTTTAGATTTTATATCCTCAGGTTAATATCAGAGATGAAAGTTATTCTCTAGTGTAGTCATAGGCAATTTCTGTGATAAAACAAGCCTGATGCAATTAGTTTTAGTATACTTAATTTTCCTTTTCACGACGGCAAATTTCTACAAGTTGAACAATTGACTTAGGATCTTTTTGATAACGATTTAAACCTGCTATCTAAAATTTCTTAAAAACTCTGTAGGTAACTAAAGGCATTCAATTTTCAACAACTCAGATGAGAACAGAATGAAAATTATAAATAAATAAAAAAAAAAAACAGATATCGATCTCCAAAAAAACCTACAATCAGTACAGATTTGTGAGTACCTGACATAAAACATAGACCCTGAAAATTCCTAAGGTAGTACCAGGGCTGGAATGGAATGATCCTCGAAATTGAGTTGAGGTGTTTAATAACCTCAAGTGGATTCATAGGTATTCATATACTCCTTAGATAATGCTCCCTTCCGTAGGCATATGCTATCTGGCGAGAAATATCCGTAAGTTGAGAAAATGGACAGAAAAGGTACCTCGACCCCCTTTCTTTCGCTTTTAAAGCCAACACCCCGTGCACAACATAATATACACCCTGCATATTGAGATATACGAGGTGGAATGGCCAGATCAGTTTTCCAGTCAACACAGGGTATATGTCTGCCCAAATCATCACTGAACTTGCATTTAATATGTCATACTTAGAAATGAAACAAACATGCCCCCCCCCCCCCTGCTTCCTCTCCAAACAAGTGTCCTGCCATCATTGAAGTCAAAACAAAAACACACTCCTCTGAGAAGAGAACAAAACACCAGTGGCGTTATTGCCATTTTCTTTGTTCTGTTGTTCACTCTAGTCGATTTCTGCGATACTCTTATTTAAACACCTACGGTTGGTCGAGATGGATTAAGATTTTCTCCATAAAGACCTTTTCAAACCGTTTGGGTAGAAATCGTTCTTCCCGTTGCTCTCTGAAGCTCAGCATTAAGCTTAAAGCACTTCAAAAGCTATGCCACTTTGCAACTTTGGCCAAATAACGGTCCTCACTGACTGTCGTACACCTTGGACGTCCCGATCTTGGCCATCTTTTACAATTTTCTGCCTGCAATATCGGTTCCATAAATTTTGGAAAACATTAGGTCTTTCTGAAATGTGACGTTGCGTTTTGCGTGCTCCCAACATCCCCACTTCCCTGGAGCATTCATCCATGCTCATATAATTCCTCATATTGTCTTCGCCAGTTCTGCATATAAATACTGAAACTTTCTTATTTTCCCTGAAGAAAACCCTCTTTGATACTTTTATGCTCCCGTTATTCCACATTCTTTTTTAACGCCACGTATTTTCTCAAGCAAAATGCCGCAAAACTCACCAAACATGTTTTTTTTAAATCATGTTGATGTTTTTTCAGTTTCTATGGTGGCTTATCCCCCTCTCCATATATGCAAATTGGAATACAATCATTTAAGAAGCATTCTGAAAGGCTAGCTTGCATCAGAATACTAAATTGTCACTTTTATTTATCGGCATTGTGCTTGACCCACACATATTATATGTATATATGCTTTATATGTTTTTGTACCTCAAGTACCATTTACATGGTTTTTAGTGAATAAATTGAATTGAATTGAAAAGCTACAGAGTAATGGCATAAATTTACACATGCAGTCCCTTTTTTAGAACGAGTTAAAATACATGTCCACCATTTTCTAATGTGTTTGGGATTCTTAAATGTTAAGCAGTGTAAGCTAATGATTAATATCGCTATTTTACTAGACCCAGGAAGTGTAAATACCTGACAAGTAGATACTAGTATTGCACAGGTGAGCTGGTTAATGTGTCATGTGATCCAATATGAGATAATCATAGTTTCACAATCGATAAACTAGGTTTATCGGTTGTACTATAGTTTACAAACCGTAAACTATAGTTAACAACGTTAATCTATATTTCACATCTGTAAACCATAGTTAACGCGATAATCTATGTTTCACAACCGTAAACTTATACTTAACACCGAAAACAATCATTTGTGATTGCAAAACATAGATTATCTGATAAATACAGTTTCACGATTTGTAAACTATAGTTTACAAACTGTTAACTATAGTTAACGATCTGATAAATATAGTTTCACAATTTGTGAAACTATGATTAACAACTCTTAACTATAGTTTACGATTGTAAACTATAGTTTACAAACGTGAATCTATGTTTATCAACAAAATCTATTGTTAACGCTTTATTACAGACAGATAAACTTAAATTAACATTCGTAAACTATAGTTAACAACCGTTAAATATAGTTTTACAGATGAAAACTATACTTAACGAATCGTTAACTATAGTTTACAGTTTGTAAACTATAGTTTACAGTCGATAAACCTAGTTTATCAATTGTGAAACTATGATTTTCTCATTTTTGTGAATTTGGCGTGCCATAGACGTCATATTCAGTCATTGACAAGTTTTGTTTCCATTGCAATTGAAATCAACAATTTACATCAGCAGTACTTCATACAATGTGATTGGGTATTGAAAGGTTGCATCAAAGTTATCTGACTATGCTTTACTGACATTGGTCAATATTTTAATGAGCTACGAAATATTTTCTTCTCATCCATGGCCAGAATGGGAGAGCATCGTACATTGGCCATGGTTTGCGACGATGGAGGGAACAAGACTAGCCTATTTGTTTACATACGGCAGTACCACTGGTTAACGGTGATCCTGATAAATTTGGACCGTGGTATTGGACCCCTAAACTAATCATTAATATTGATATTTTAAAAAAAAGTTTCATCAGATTTTTTTTCAAATAAGATAATTATATGTCGCTGAAGCCCTTATGTTTTTAATTGTTTGTGTTCTTCCTGTGTCTGAAATTCTTGATATTTGTCTGTTAATACAATATGTCATTGAATGTATGATTCATATACTTTGTGAACGAGCCCGGCTCTCTGTACTCCTGAGTACTTTGATTATTTACTTTATTGATAAAATTGAGAACTCCTATGGTCAAATTAAATATGTGCTGAAAAATCTGGATATAATTTACTCAACCTGAAAAGTACTTTGATATTTAGGTGATCATCAGAAATACCCATGTGATGTATCAAACTCTGCCTCTGTCAATGATCTAGTAAATAAAATTAAGGAGAGGTATTCCTCAGCACCACATGTAGTTGTGAACTCGGCTGGCATCACTCGAGACAGGACAATGATGAAACTCACAGAGGAGGACTTTGACAAAGTAATAGATGTTAATCTCAAGGTAAGTCGAAAAGACCACCGAATGATTATTAAGTTCAATCAACAGGTACATATCTTTATCTTTCCTGAAATTAAAGTGTTCTTGATCTAACTCAGGCAAAAAATGACCATAACTTACCATTTTTTTTTTTAAATTTCCATCTACACTTTACATTCATCTTTTTAATCACCGTCACCCATAATATATGCCTATATGTAGATGTCTTATTTTGCAGGGAACTTGGTTATTAAACAGGGCAGTAGGAAAGGCAATGTTGGCAGACAAAGTTCCTGGCTCTATTGTCAACATATCAAGTCTTGTGGGAAAGGTAAAATTTAACCATCTGTCATAACTGGTTCTTGCCCTGAATGCTACCTAGAATACTAGACTGGCATGCCAGAGGTCCTGGGTTTAAATCCGAGTGAAGGCAAATCTGTCTCATGTGTGGCTCCAATATTAGGACCTGGGTGTATTGTAGTGGGTGAAACAGAAATTGAAATTATATTCTTGCAGAAATTTACCCCCAGGTGTTTCCCTCCAAATTAGAAGGGTACAGTGTGGGATAGTGTAATATGATAATGGTACTCAGTTCCCTACTAGATAAACTGTTTGATTGGTAGAGCAATAGACTGGCATGCTAGAGGTCAGGGGTTTAAATCCAAGCATATCGAGAAACAAACTTGTTTCTCTTACATGAATTTCACTTCAATAAAAACACAGTTACATAATAAATGATACTGATATCTTGGTGATTTATTTTATTGAATTACTGCTTTGCAAATACAGGGCAGGTTTTACCCTGCACTGGACTGAGGTGAAAAAAATCATTTATAAAAATTAAGATATGATTTTTCTTGACATGTAATCACAATATCAAAAATATTAAAGGTGAATTATTGACCATATTATTGGTAAATTCTTAAACATACATTCCTTTTGGTGACCTGATTATCATAATCATGGATCCTGGGACTTGATATTGGTAAAAAAAAAAATGACGTTTTGTCATAACTATTGTCTTCAAATTTTATTCATAAGAAATGTGATAATGTGTTCGCTTTGACTTAAATATAATTTGCTAGTGCATATTTATGTGGAATTCATTGATTTTTAGTACTTGTAATAATACAATTTTACCATTTTACTCTACTCCCTCTCATAGTCCGGAAAATCTGACGTTTTTCTGGCTTTTTTACGATTTTGATATTTTACAGGTTTTCCTGGCATGTAAAATATCAAAATCGTAAAAAAAGCCAGGAAAACGTTAGATTTTCCAGACTATCTCTCTCATATTTATGATATCAAATAGATTATGTTAATTTAGACAGGAAATATAGGACAAACCAATTATGCTGCCTCAAAAGCTGGAGTGATAGGGCTCACTAAGTCCATGGCCAAAGAAATGGGAAAGTAAGAGTTTAGTTATAACTTTAGAAAATGAATAACACATGCTTTTTACATTAACAATGAGTATTTGCAGAACCTCTGTTATATGTCAGTTAGCTAATAAAGATGTCTGTTCTAGTATTTGACTTTCCGAAGAATGATCTTTAAATGATAAGGTTACAATTTTTAGAGAAAGGTATGTATGTGCTTATTTGTAAACACTAAAAGAAGTATATACATATTTAGAATGTTTTAGTTTTCCATTCACAGGTTTAACATTAGAGTGAATGCTGTTTTACCTGGGTTTATCGAGACCCCTATGACTGATGTTGTCCCTGAACATCTCATACAAATGACCAAAATGTTGATTCCACTTGGGCGCCTTGGTAACCCAGAAGGTATAAAAATATACTCCGCTGGACTTTGGGTTTTTTTTTACAGTAGTTTATATGGATACTTGATCAATATTTTGTCTAATTTGGGAAAAAAAGTAAGGTAAACATATTAGCAGGGAAAGTTTCATATCTTTTGGAGGATGTACTTCAAAATTTTGATGGGTTGCAAGTTAAGATTCGAGTATGTTCAAAAATCCGTGTTATAATTTCAATAACGCAAATAAATTTGGATATTATTTATTGCATGAGTTTCACCTTTAATTTTTGTGAATTTCTTTTGTAGAAATAGCAAATACTTGTGCCTTCCTAGCATCAGACAAGAGTAGTTATATAACTGGTGCAACAATTGAAGTTACGGGTATGAATTAAAAATATCCACTACCAAAATAATTTGATATACAGTATCCAAGAATTTTCTACCTCAACTGTCTACAAACATTAAAAGATTATAACTTTATTAAAATTTGCAGCTTCTTATTCATGTAAGTATCTTCTTTGATATTAAATGATTGTGTCGCTCCTAATATTGATTTCTTTCCATTTGTAGGTGGCCTATTCATGTAATTAGGAGTAAGAACTGCAGATTAGATGTGATTGTCTGTGATAAAAAAGAATTGCCAGAATTAGATACAGGAACAGTGAACTAGGATGATACAAGTACATTTGTGACACTATGCAGAGTACATATAAATTAATTGCTATTCAGAGAGGACTAGTTCTGCCTCAAGATACACTTCCTTTGAAGCAGTTGACTGTTAGTCAAGTTGGGGGTGATCTTGTACTGGGATGCTGCTGTATGAAGTAGGAATCCTTATCTCTGCCAGAAATTTTATGGAGGAATATGGATTTGGGTCCTTCTTGGCAGGCTTCTTGGTAACTGAAGGAAGAAAAAAATCTAAGTAATTTTACTGAAGATACATGAACATAGCTAGGACACATGATTGTAGATCAATACTATTACTGTGTATAAGACTTGTTACCAACTGCCCACAAAAATATGTCTGGTTGTTCAAGTGTATGGCAGATGAGGCAAAACTGAACCTTTTTATGGACTTTAACAACCCATTGTATTTCTGTTGGGAGTTGGTAGCAAACTTATCAAGTGTTTTGCTTTGTTGAGGATCAACAATTGTTTAACTTATATTGAAATCCAAATTTTGCTACTAACTTTACAAAGGAATATTGACAGCAGGAATGTGAAGTCTATTACCCAATGACAGAATATCATTCTGATCCGATCAAGACAAAATAAATTTAAAATAAACACAGGTCCTAGGGTCGTGACCTTAGCGGAAGTTACATAAAACAGACCCAAAAATTCCAAATCGGATAAGTGAGTTCTGTTGACTTATTATAAACAATGCGTGCCGTAGCACCAATATACGGAAGCGTATTAGGGCCGCAGCAGTATTTTATTTAATTTGTTATAACAAATTGATAATTTGTTTAAACAAATTATTAATTTGTTATAACAAATTATTAATTTGTTATAACAAATTGATAATTTGTAATAACAAATTAACAATTTGTTATAACAAATTATTAATTTATTATAACAAATTAGTAATTTGTTATAACAAATTGATAATTTGTTAAAACAAATTAATAATTTGTTATATTATATAACTTTGTGAGATCCGGTAATCTGATTGGTCAATACGAAGTAATTATTTTTTAATAACGACCGCTGAAAGCGAATAATGACTCACACGAGCTGTCTCGTTTTCACTTTCGCTTTGAGACAAACATTTGCAAGTTGTAGGTGAGGAAAATTTGAAATATATAGTTAAGTGAAGAACTCTGAGACTGAGAATACAAAACAATTACAAGGATATCTATGAACATTTTTCGGGAATACTTAACACATACCATTTCATGGTTGAATTCGACTTTTACACTCGGTGAGCAGAGTTTTGACACTGTTTCCGCGATTACGGAGACTAAAGAAAATAAAGACAAGCATGCCATGTATGATTGTATCTTATCGTAGAAGAAATAGGTATTTGTATTTTGTCCGTGCATATAATTTCCTCTGCAAGTGTAAACGAGTGCGATTCTCAATCGGGGGGAGGGGGTACTCTGTTTATTCGGAGATAGATATTTTGCGTTATTATCATGCTATGGCGGGTTAAAATTTATTACCGAAACAAGTTCCCCTGAGTAACATTCAATAAATTCTTAAACATTTACATTCAACTTATTTATGGTTAATACTATCTCTGTAAACATTAGCAAGATATACATTGTATTAATAAATTTGGGAAAATATTATTATATAATATAATAAATATGGACTCAATGCACGGTCAATATGCATTTATAATGACCCAGGCTGACAGATATTGACCTCAGATACATGGAGTATATCGACCTCGGGCTAGCGCCCTCGGTCTATATACACCATGTATCTTCGGTCAATATCTCTCATCCTGGGTCATTATAAATGCATATTGACCTACACTGAGTCCATATTTGTATAATAACAAATTATTAATTAATTTAAACAAATTAGTAATTTGTTATAACAAATTGATAATTTGCTAAAACAGATTGATAATTTGTTATAACAAATTACTAATTTGTTTTAACAAATTATAAATTTGTTTAAACTAATTGATAATTTGTTATAACAAATTGATATTTTGTGTTAACAAATTACTAATTTGTTTAAACAAATTGATAATTTGTTTAACAAATTAATAATTTGTAACAACAAATTGATAATTTGTTATAACAAATTGATAATTTGTTATAACAAATTAATAATTTGTTTATACAAATTACTAATTTGATATAACAAATTACTAATTGTTTAAACAAATTATTAATTTGTTTAAACAAATTATTAATTTTTTATAACAGATTATAAATTTGTTATAACAAATTAGTAATTTGATAAAACAAATTACTATTTTTGACAAAATTTGAAATGTATACAATCTACGAAAGCCAGATCAAATAAAAAATCCTAGTTTATGTGGGATTTATGAAAATAATTTGCAAATGTCAAAGTTTTTGGCAAAAATAAGGCTTTAGTGGGACCATTGAGAGCTTTTCCAACAGGCTCTTTTTTTATTATTATAATAAAAATTAGTTGCATACAGAAGAATTGAATGACACATTAGGAATTTAATATCAAATTTCACCAAGAGATACCCACTCAAGAATATTGTGGGTTTTTATTTTTTCTTTAGTTTTCCAGGGAAGTTTGTTACGGAATGTATTTTTTCTTGATAATTTATCCGCAAATTCATTTGGTCAAAGGTGCCTCTGTTGCTCAAAGCTTTATAGGAAACTATTGAGGTTCACCACGGTAGCAGATCCAGGATTTTCAATTGGGTTGAACAGTAGACATAAATGCCTGTCGAAAAGCAATATTCAAAGTAGATCATATCACATGTAAAAAAGAATCCAGAGAGAGAGAGAGAGAGAGAGAAGGGGGGGTTAAAATGAACAAAATCAAAACACAAACTAGAGATACTGTGGGCAATGAGCTCTCTAAATGATACCCCCCCTCCCATATGCTTATAAAGACAAAGTCCATGTTTAGCTGTAGCCGGGAAACCCAAAATATGTGTCGGATCAAAAAGTAAAATAGGAGGTGCAAAATGGTAATATGTTATGTAATAAAGATTCTGTGAAAGTTTCATTAAATTTCACTTCGTGGTATAGGAGGAGTTGCGGATAAGAGATGGGTACTCCAAAGCGTAACAGACGGATGGACGGACATACCGATTACAGTATACCCTCCCACTTTTCAAGCGGGGGAGGGGGGGGGATATAATAAAACAATTTAAATTGTAACATTCTTTTGCATGGCTCAAACAAGATAATATTTTTCCTAGCATACGAATTGGGTGATATGACTGTGCAGAGTCGGAAGGGGGTGGAAGGGGGGGGGGGGGAAGGGCACGTATGGACAAACTTTTATTAACGCTTCAAAGAACAAGCTATAAGGAATAGAATCTAGGACCTTGATGCAATTCATCATGACATTGTTTGAAGTGAAAACTCTGAGATGCTAGAAGAAACATATAGGTCAACTTTGCAGACTGTATGCTTATTGTTTCACAAATTCAATATTTCAATGATTTCTAATCTGATAAAGATTCAAAATTTCTGTGTACATGTCAAATATCCAAAAATAGTAATTTGTTATAACAAATTATAACAGATTATCAATTTGTTATAACAAATTAGTAATTTGTTTAAACAAATTGATAATTTGTTATAACATATTACTAATTTGTTATAACAAATTAATAATTTGTTATAACAAATTATCAATTTGTTTAAACAAATTATTAATTTGTTATAACAGATAACAGATTATCAATTTGTTTAAACAAATTAGTAATTTGTTATAACAAATTATCAATTTGTTATAACAAATTATCAATTTCTTTAAACAAATTAGTAATTTGTTATAACAAATTAGTAATTTGTTATTACAAATTATCAATTTGTTTAAACAAATTAGTAATTTGTTATAACAAATTAGTAATATGTTATAACAAATTATCAATTTGTTTAAACAAATTATCAAGTTGTTATTATACAAATATGGACTCAATGTAGGTCAATATGCATTTATAATGACCCAGGGTGACAGATATTGACCGAAGATACATGTAGTATATCGACCGAGGGCGCTAGCCTGAGGTCGATACTCCATGTATCTGAGGTCAATATCTGTCATCCAGGGTCATTATAAATGCATATTGACCTACAATGAGTCCATATTTATCATATTATATAAATAATATTTTCCCAAATACATTAATACAATGTATATCTTCCTAATGTTTACAGCGATAGTATTAACCATGAACAAGTTGGATGTAGATGTTTCAGAATTTATTGAATGTTACTGAAAGAACTAAATAATAATAATAGCAATAAGTTTTAACCCATAGCATGATAATAACGCAAGATACCTATCTCCGAATAGCACAGAGTACCCCCTCACCCAGATTGAGAATCGCACTCGTTTGCACCTGCAAAGGAAATTATATGCACTGACAAAAAATAAATACCTATGTCTTCTACGATAAGATACAATCATACATGGCATGCTTGTCTTTATTTCTTTAGTCTCCGTAATCGCGTAAACAGCGTTAAAACTCTGCTCGCCGAGTGGAAATGTCGTATTCAACCATGAAATGGTATGTGCAAAGTATTCCCGAAAAATGTTCATAGAAATCCTTGTAAATTGTTTTGTATTCTCAGCCTTAGAGTTCTTCACTATATCTTTGAAATTTTCCTCACCTACAACTTGCAAACTTCCATGTTTGTCTAAAGCGAAAGTGAAAACGAGGCAGCTCGTTCGAGTCATTATTTGCTTTCAGCGGTCGTTATTAAAACATAATTACTTCGTATTGACCAATCAGATTACAGGATTTCACAAAGTTATATAATATAACAAATTAATAATCTGTTATAACAAATTATCAATTTGTTATAACAAATTATCAATTTGTTATAACAAATTATCAATATGTTATAACAAATTAATAATTTGTTTAAACAAATTAATAATTTGTTATAACAAATTGATAATTTTGTTATAACAAATTAAAAAAAAATACTGCTGGGGCCCTAATACGCTTCCGTATAGTATACCAATACACTTGAGATAGGACGCAAGAAAAACATATCAAATATTTTCTTTTTTAATATATGCGGTAATAGCGAATTTATGCTAAGCAAGGGAAATTTTGTTTCTGATTATACACTTTTGCCTGCTTTCGTCAATATCATCTTCAGGAGCTGTAAAATATGACAAAATCAATCCAAATAATTTTTTCTGACGATGTGGTGCAGGTGGACTCAAAATCATGCAATGTATTCAAGAAAAATAAAAGGTCACGACCCTAGGACCGTAACGAATTTAGGGCCTCCGACGATATATCAAAAATATTAATGCCAAGTTTAAATAAACACCGTAATAAAGACTGACTGTCAAGACATTTTATTTCTAAAATACTTTTTACATTGACAATTTAATGTCCTGTAAGGATGTACATGCATTAAATGCGTAGCAAATATAGAAAGCAGTCACAACTCCGTTTCTGTCATATTCTTCAAAACTGTAAAATTTCCATCTACAACAAGTAATCCTATCTTGTAATCATATAATTCTGTAAAATATACATGTGGTAAATATACAGAGATGATATCAATAAATATGGCACTCTTTCCAATTTATTGGAGTTTCATTTAAATTTGTTGAAATATAAGCTTATGCCAGACCTCTAGGAAGATCAATCCTCATGTTTCCTCCATCTTTCTTATCCATAAAGTCTTGTTCGTGTTGAAGTCTGTCAGTTTGTCACCTTCCAGCCTAAATGTCCCCCTAAAGAAAATAAAAGTCACAATCAAAGGAAAGATCAATTCATTATATCTCCTTTAATATTTGGATCCTCCAGTTAAAATAAGTACAAGTAAATCTACTGACAAAATGTGGAACTATTACTAAAACACTAGATATATATTTCTACATAACATTAGAAATATTTCTACAAAACATTGGATATATACATCTACGTACTGAGTATGTCCCTCCTTCATGGTCAGTATGGGCTTTTTAAGGGCCACGCTGTCCTGTAGTTCCAGGGCACTAACCCCTGTTAGGGGCCAGCAATTGCCCGTCTCATCACATACCTCCCATTTCGGTGACCCAGAATCTGAGGATAATTATATATAATCTATATATATACTAAAAAAGTGTAGTAAATACTGGGTAATTAATGAGATGTTTCAACTTCCCATTGAGAATAAAAAACCCACTATATTTGTGATTATACATTGAAAACTATTGAAAAGACCAATTGAAATTTTATAAATTGTGCAAAGTCTTGCTACACGTGTATGTACGAGGGTTGTCCCGTTAAATCGTGGACAAGTTGTCTAGTTTGAAAAATAATCATCACTGAGTTCTGAAATTTTCACCACTTTTTAGTAGATAAATTATAAATATACATAGCAAATTTCAAATAGATATATGCATAGGTAAACAAATTGTGATATTTTATGTTATGTACTGTATCGCCCTACGGCGCACGGATGATAACGTCAAAGTGTCTAAAACAGCGTCACGTTTCATCTTTGCTAAACTTAAAGTTGGATAAGCCCCACTTAAATTTAGAAATTTTATTGATTTACATATGTGAGTATCTATAACCAGTTAGGAAACCAAAAAGGCACACTCACGCGATCTTCTGAATATTTATTAGCAAGTTACAGACAGTATTCTCACCATCAATCAACTAAAAGAGAATCTCACATCAACGGTCGACAGTGACAGCATCCTTTGCTATCACAAATGGCAGTCTGTCCATGTTTTGTACTATCTGGGGACTCGACCACGAAGACTTCACTAAGAAAACTTTCATTTCATTTATATACTAAAGATCTGGTGACATTTTTCATATTTTCTTTCTTCTGTATTCATTTAAAGTCTCTTAAGGCATCATATACATCCTAATCTATCTGAACTGCTCTCCGGTGCGCCGTAACGTCATAAAAAGTCGCCATTTTTCGTGTATTGTGTTTATTATACTTTCCCATTTCAAATGCTCGGGAAACTGCCAAAAATTAACCAAATGCCTTGAAATTTTAAAAAGGCGACAGAATTGATTAAGGAATCGAATAAGGATAATTTTCATCCTAACCTTATGTATTGAAAACTTTTATTACGAATTTTAAATTCTTATGTCTTCTCTAATATAACCTTGCTATTTTTACCGTGCGCCGTAGGACCGAACCTTGTGCATATTCAAGCAGAATAAAATCTTTATTTTTGAATATATATTATCAAAAACAATTTGATTCACTTAAATATGATGAATAAACATTTACTGAAAATTTCAGCTTAGTGCGCCCATTACCGTACTTTTCGAGAAAAACGCTTTTTCCACGATTTTATGGGACAACCCTCGTATATTTACTGAAGATTCCTTATTATATGCAGGGAATTAATTTCCGCAAAAATTCACGAGAAGCGTCACTTGCGAAAAAATATTACTCACGTTTATTTATATAGTGCTAAAATCTGTATAAATTCTCCTGATTAAACTTCCATTCGCGAATTATAATTCTCGCGGTTTGACGTTAGACACCCAGTTCGCGATAAAAAGTATTCGCGAAAAATAAGGAATTTACAGAATTTGATCAGAAGTCAATATCTGTTTTTAACTAAGGAATTACATCCCCTCTCCCCCCTTACAATATATACTACCAAATTCTCGGTGTAGGCCCCTATAACTTTTTAAGTCCTTCTTTTAAGTAAAATAAATAATGTTTCATCATTGATATAATGTACAAATGATTAATTGTTACCAATTAGTCCTTCCAAATCAATGAGTGGAGATTCTCTACAAAGGAAAAAAAACGGTTATAAATATCACCGATTACAAGAAATACATTAATAAGGCAATTTTTTTCTATGCCCCCTCAAAAATATATGTCTTGAAAAGTATTATTTTTGAGATAAGGCTTCAAAATAATTAATCAACAGACACATCTCTCAAACTTACGCAACATCAATGTCGAATCTTTCTTGATCTCCGTATCTGTAAACATTCAATTCATGTGCAGCGAAAGGTGAACGCCAGCATACCTGTTTTAAGGAGAAATTTAGAAAAAACTAATGTAATCCATAAAAGATTATATCTAACTAGTCACTATATAAAAGTGTGACAAAAATGTAAATTGCGCCCCCCTCCCCTAATTTTTGATTGACATTTATATTTTACTGAACAATTTACAACACAGTTAAAAAAAAGAGTATTACATTTAATACTACATGTACAAAATAATAAATGAGAAAGAAATCCCCCCCCCTAGTTTTCCATATTACATGTATAGTCCTTGTAAATCAATTTTAATCTGACAAGTTTTAACAAACAATATGATATTACATAAATGTTGTATGTTTGAATAGAGTACAAGTATTTTGTATATGAAAAAAAGTGTGAGCCTCAGGGTAATTTCTGCAATTTATCCACCTATTTACCTAAAATCTTTTTTTTTTTCTTTTCCAAAAAAAAAAATGATAACAGGTCCATCCTGTACTAACACAAAAACAGAATTATAATTTAACATGTTTCAAGAAAAAATTTGAATATCTCTCCATCTGATGAAACCTGCCAAGGAGCATTCTGCAGATGTGCCTGGTTGACAGGGATGCTTACTCCTCCACTGCACCTGATCCAATCTCTGATGTTTTTAGATATCTGTATTTACACTGCTGTTTTAATGGTCATTTGAGCTTGATTACTGTTCATTATCTTTAGAGTTCATTCAGAATGTCTGATTGCATTTCACAGTGGTTAATTTTCAATACCTTGACTAGCCTTCCTCCATCTTTGTTGATGATGACAACCCCTTTTTCATCTGGACCACCATCTTGATCATCATAATTCCAATGTCTGCCTGCAAAAGTGTTTTAAATAATAAAGGTATCACTGCATCAACATTAAACCAATATAATTTGAAAAAATTTTTATTATATTTTTTTTATTACACCCAATCCAAATACATATATAAAGAAAAGAGCATCAAAATTTACCTTGTAATGTAAAATTTGAATTGTGAAATTGTTACATTCAATGGTTAGTTTTAAGTTTCTGTGCCACAAAACATTGAACAATGGCCTCCTGTTTACCTCTCCTTACCGGTGTTCCTACAGGTAAAGCTGCGTACCCTGAGTCTGGCGAGGATTTGTAGAACAGTAGGTTCTCCTGGTCAAAGGTCCAGCGGTAGTATTCCTTTTCTCCAGTGTCCAAAACAACAAGGACATACTGGGACTCTAAAGCAAACAAGCAAAATAGAAGGACTACAGATATTTTACCAACATTTGATTTAGTCTAGCTACCATGATAGAAAATTTGTAAAGAATCATTGTTTAGTTTGTAAGGTATGCCAGGGCATCAATAATAAATATGTACGAGGGTTGTCCCGTAAAATCGTGGACAAGTTGTCTAGTGTAAAAAATAAATATCACTGCGTTTTGAAATTTTCACTATTTTTTTAGTACATATTTTAGTAATATGCACAGCTTTCAGATTAATATATGCATCAATAAACACATTATGAGATTTAATGCCATGTATTGTATCACCTTAAGGCGCATGGATTATAACGCCAAAGTGTCTAAAACAGCGTCACGTTTTATCTTTGCTGAAAATGAAGTTGGATAAGTCCGACTTAAATTTAGGAATTTCATTGATACACATTCTTTAGTCTCCATAAACAGCCGAAGAACCAATTGACACCCTCATGCAATCTTCTGAAGATTTATCAGTTTAAGTTACGGACAATATTCTCACCATCATTCAACTAAAAAAAAAATCTCATATCGGCGGTCTACTGTGGCAGCGTCTTTTGCTATTACATTAGGAGTTTGTCCGTATGTTTTGCACTCCCAAGGGGCTCGTTCAAAAAAGAATTCGCTAACAAAACTCCCATTTCATTTGTATACTTAAGATATGGTGATATCTTTACAATCTTTTTTCTTCTATGGTAATTTCAAGTCTCTAAAGGTGTCATAACAACATCAAATTAAAACGGAACTGCTCTCCGGTGCGCCGTAACGTCATTAAACGTCGCCATTTTTCGCGTGTTGTGTTTACCACTTTCCCATTTCGAATGCTCGAGAAACTGCAAAAAATTAACCAAATGCCTTAAAATATTTACAAAGACTACAAAATTTTATGTTGAATTGAATTAGGGTAATTTTTATCCAAATCTTATGCATTAAAAACTTTTATTTTGAATTCAAACTTGTGTTTTCTTTAATAAAACCTTGGTTTATGTCCGTGCGCCGTAGGACAATACCCCGTGCACATTCAAGGATAATAATATTTTTATTTTTGCCTATATCTTATAAAAAAAAGTATCATGCACTTAAATATGATAAATAAACATTAACTGAAATTTTCAGCTTAGTGCGCCCATTACTTTTCGAGAAAACGCTTTGTCCACGATTTTATGGGACAACCCTCGTACACTTAATTTGAAACATAGGATAAACACATGCTGAAATTTATGCTGACACAAGATAGAGAAAATTTTAAATCTATTTAAGATTGAAAAAGAAGACCTAAGTCAAAATTAAGAGCGTACGAAATATTAACTTGTTGTGAACTTGACAATCATTGAATCAATTAACATGTTTTTTTATTTGTATTTGTTCTTATCAACGTCATTTTCTTTTTCTACAAATAAATTTTATATTTGGCCAAACTTAAGCATATTACCGGTTAGTATACATGTATATGTAACCCCAATATCTCTGAGCCTTATAGATATAATCCCCCAATACTATGTGATAAGTAAAAGACGTGATCACCCGTGGGTATAAGACGGATGGATTGATCTATAATCTTTCCCTTTATTATCTTTCTTTTTGAAACTCTATTACCCGACATGCCCCCGTGTCCCCAGTTCCTATGCAGAGCTGTTTGTCGGTGATGACACCGTCCCAGCTGGAATTACACGTCATAGCAGAGGTTATGGGAATGCGTAGATGTCGTAGTACAACATTATCACCAGTTCAATCAATTTCTATAAGTTGTATGTGAGGATTAATTTATGCGCGTAAGCACATTTAAGGGTAGTTGTTTGGTCATAGTATATAAGAAGTTGGTCAAGCGTAAAGCGGTCATCGACGAGCAATAATCAACCAGATTTCGAACACGCTTTACCTGGAATGAATGAGTCAAATTCTAGTCACGAGGAGCGGGTTATACATGCATGCTGCGCCTCAAATTGGCCAAAGTGGACGACCTTGCTTGACAGAAAATTCGCAAGATGAATTCACTACTCAAGATGCACTGGATATTTTTACAGACAAATTCGATAGGGCGCTTAGACGGCAAAAGCAAGAAATCGTCAGCGAGTTGAATTTAGCTCAGAAGTCAACAGAAAAAAAGGTACCTGACTTTAGATATCAAGGCAATAAAATTCAGTTTGAATTCAATCCAGAAAGGGACATTGACATTAAAAAAGTATTAAACCTGTTAGAAAATAACAGATTAGAAGCGCCTAAAGAAATTTTGAATTTTACTATATCTCATTTGAATAAAAGGAACAAAACTGTTCGCATAGCGGATAAATATGGTTGGGACGTTGTACGAGTATGATGATGATCCTCTTACTGACGACGCTGACGATGCTACTAAGCTTCGACAAGCTATTTTCAGAGCAAAGAAAAGAAGCAACAAGAAGAAGCCTTACGACAGAACAACACGTGCTTATCCTGGATGAATCAAATTGCAGACGCGTACAGTAAGATTTTTGATTTTGATGATTGGTCAGTGGGTGATCACATTTTCCAGTTTTTAAGTAAAAAATGGGGGCCATTTGATTATGATTTATTTGCAGACTGTAAAAATAAGAAAGTAGAAAAAATTTATTCCAGATTTTGGAATCCTGGAACATCAGATGTAGATGCTTTTGGGTTTGATTGGTCTATAGGTAATAATTGGATAGTACCTCCTGTTAATCTGATTATAAAAGTGATTAAACAATTGATTTTGTGCAAAGCAAGAGGTACTCTTCTTAATCCTAAATGGCAGTCTTCACCTTTTTGGCATTATTAGTTAAGCCGTTTTCTGGAAATTTTCAAAATTTTGTTAAAAATGGCTTGAATATCACAAGCCTCGAAACTTTTTTAGGACAGGATTTCATGCAGAGAGTGTGTTTGCTGAACCACAGTTTCAAAGTAATGTTATTGTGCTTTATATAGACTGTTCTGATTGTTGAATTTTGTGTTTATGCTATGTTATAACAGACAATGATAATGAATGTATGTTAGCCTTTATGGGGCTTTTGTAATGAAAAAAAAGCCCGGATGGGACAATTGTAATGAAGCCCGGATGGGGCAATTATGATGAAGCCCGGATGGGGCAATTGTGATGAAGCCTCGATTGGGCAATTGTGATGAAGCCTCGATGGGGCAATTGTGAATAAATTTTATATTATGTTGCATACAATTGTTAATGAAGCATTATGATTAAGATTACAGATGTGCTTATTAGATTTTATCAAGAACGGGCTCAAATGTTGATCAAGAGACATAAATGTATATATATTTAATATGAAGTAATTTTATTTTTTTTTTAACTTCAGCTCACATTTAGTTCCTCGCATTGAAAGACATTAAAAAGATTCAAGATCCTAGACTCAAGGACACGGTACTCAAAATGAATGATATAGTAAGGCACAGTAAAAGTGATAACACGTATAAAAAATACAGAAGCTATTTTTACAGTTTAAGTCCTGGTGCGCAAAATTTAAATTTCTTGCATTACCTGCTACACCATCTTCTGTTGCAGTTTATTTGTCTTATCTTATACAAAAACAGTCTTCGGCTGCATTCATTAATGCGGCATATTATAGTATTCAATGGGCACATCATATTAATCTTTGTAATAATCCATGTGCAGACAACCTTGAAAATTTGATTTTAGAAGGAGGGAAGAGATTGTTATCGAAACCTGTAGTTAAGAAGGTACGTATTACACCTGAGATTTTAGATAAAATAATGGATAAATTTCCGCAGTTACAAAATTTATATCATTGAGATTGGTATGTATGTTGTTATTAGGTTATGCAGGTTTCTTAAGATATGATGAACTTGTGCATATTCGAATGTGTGACATTAAGTTTCATGAATCAGGTTCACATGTTGAATTCAGAGTTAAAAAAAGCAAAACGGATATTTTCATGCCAGGTAATATTGTTGTTATAGCGAAAACAGGTAATAAACTTTGTCCTGTTTCATATTTTGAAAAATACATATCATTTGCTGGTCTTGCTTTTCAGTCTAATGTTTTTATTTTTAGAGAGGTTGCATTTTTCAAAAAGGACAATGTTTATAAGTTATGTAAATCAAATAAACCTTTAACATATACTAGAGCTAGAGAGCTTCTTCTAGATGCTCTTAAAAGTGTGTGTGTAGATTTTAAAGATTGTGGTGTAGTTGAGATGCTAAACGTTAAAGGAAAACATATCGAAGACGTCTTGATAATTACAGGGTCTAATGACATTATCTTTATGTGAAATGTACGCATAATTATACTTTTAAAAGTAAATTTATGGTTTTGTTTCATTTACTGTCCTTTTATTGAAAATCAAAACGAAAAGCCAAGATGTAATTTAAATAAAAAAAGCAATGTAACTCACAACAATTAATTCTTACTATAAGCACTTTTTGGTTATCAATCTATATAAATTGTACTAGTAATCAAGTTGCACTCCGAACACTCCTGGCTTACCCGTAGAGACAGTGAGCGGCGGTAACAACCCATTGGTCGGACACCAGAGTCCCTCCACAGAAATGACCGCGGTCATTCTGAAAACTGACCTGCCAGGGCCACTCACCATCCAAAGCTGGTTCACCGCCCACCACTCTAAGGCGCGGATCTACATGGCGTGTCTGAACCCGTGTTATTAGTCCGCACTTGTCTGTGCCTTGAAACAAATAGACAGATAACTAGAGCTGAACTCGTTGCAAA